AACCAGGTCTAACCCAGGACCAAACCATGACCGAATCACCTCTGATAATGATCACTGCATACCAGGAGCACCCCAAAATAGCTGGACTGAACCAAACACGACTAACCCAGGGTTAAACCGAAACTAACCTAGGACTAAACCAAGTCTAACCCAGGACTAAACCAAGTCTAACCCAAGACTAAACCAAGTCTAACCCAAGACTAAACCAAGTCTAACCCAAGACTAAACCAGGTCTAACCCAGGACCAAACCATGACTGAATCCCCTCTGATAATGACTGCATACCAGGAGCACCCCAAAAATAGCTGGACTAAACCAACTGGGACTAAACCAGGGCTAAACCAAAGTTAAATCAGGACTAACCCAGGACCAAACCGAATCACCTCTGATAATTGCTGCATACCAGGAGTACCCCAAAAGTATCTGGACTGAACCAACCAGTACTAACCCAGGGCTAAACCAAAACTAAACCAAGACTAACCCAGGTCTAACCCAGGACTAAACCATGACTGAATCACCTCTGATAATGACTGCATACGAGGAGCGCCCCAAAATAGCTGGACTGAACCAACAGGACTAACCCAGGACTAAACTAGGTTTAACCCAAGACTAAACCAGGACTAAACTATGACTGAATCCCCTCTGATAATGATCACTGCATACAAACACCACACAAGAGCACCACTGAACCAGGCCTAACCCAGGACAAAACCAGGTCTAACCCAGGACCAAACCATAACCAAATCTCCTCTGATAATGACTGCATACAAGGAGCACCTCAAAAATAGCTGGACTGAATCAAACAGGACTAACCCAGGGCTAAACCAAAACTAAACCAGGTCTAACCCAGGACTAAACCAAGTCTAACCCAAGACTAAACCAGGTCTAACCCAGGACCAAACCAAGTCTAACCCAAGACTAAACCAGGTCTAACCCAGGACCAAACCATGACCGAATCCCTTCTGATGACTGCATACCAAGAGCACCCCAAAAATAGCTGCACTAAACCAACCAGGACTAACACAGGGCTAAACCAAAATTTAACCAGGACTAACCCAGGACTATACAAAGTCTAACCCAAGACTAACCCAGGTCAAACCCAAGACTAAACCAGGACTAAACCAGGTCTAACCCATCACCAAACCATGACTGAATCCGATCTGATAATGACTGCATACCAGGAGCACCCCCAAAATAGCTGGACTGAATCAAACAGGACTAACCCAGGGTTAAACCGAAACTAACCCAAGACTAAACCAGGTCTAACCCAGGACTAAACTATGACTGAATCCCCTCTGATAATGATCACTGTATACAAATACCACACAAGAGCACCACTGAACCAGGTCTAACCCAGGACTAAACAAGATCTAAACCTGGACTAAACCAGCTTTGAAGACAAAATATCTCACTTATTTTTCACCACAAATTTCACTCGATATAAGGTATATACTTGTATTTGTATAGAGGAGGTACGAATATAGCTCAATGCACCAGATAACACATTTTAAGATTACTTTCGGAGGGGCTTCTGTCTATCAATACTTCTTACATTTTCCTTTTGCTGACTCAATCTTCACTTCCTCAACTCACTATTGACCTATTTCTAACCACGACTCTCTGCCGCCTCCTGAATGGAAAAAAAAAAAAAAAAAAAAAAAACCCCGAAAAACTTGGATCCTTGCAGCTGTTCAGATGTGGGGGCTCTGATTGCATTTGATTGGGAGAGGAAGCTGAGAGGAAGAGTGAAAGTGGAACTGAGGAAAAGAGAGGGAGAGACGGAGGGAGAATCTGAATGAGACCGGCTCAGACTGTGCTTCCTTCTGCAAATGAATCAACAAAATTCACTTTTAATTTGTATTTTGTCCTTTGTGATGTAAAGAGGGGAGTCCGCTATAATCTGAAGAGAATAGAACAAATGATTAAAAAAAAAAACGATAAAAAATGAAAAAACAAATTTAAAGATGCATTGTGTAACTTCTATAGTGGAGGGTCCGCCATTTCCTCATCTCCATGGTGATGTTATTGCTTTGCCTGGTGTAGCGTTAACTGAATATATCTTGTATTTATTCAAGTGTTTTTATTTCTTAAAAATATCGCAAAAACATGTATTATGACTGTGAGCAGGTCCACTTCTCCACAGATCTGGCCAGTAATTTGGCCCGCTTGTCTCCATGGAGATAGTTAAATTAAATGCAATACTGTAGATAATTTAAGGAAAAAACTACATGGAGCAGAAGTGGTGGACTCTCTACCAGAAAAATCACACAGTGCAGCTTTAAATATCAGTTTTTTTTTTTGCATAGTTCAAATTGATGCAAAGTTACCAAATATCGGTTATTAAGGATCAAGTTTAAGGTTTCATAATTCATTTCATTTTGTAGTTAATCCACTGCACTGACATCATCTTTGACCTAAAATCTGTCACATTTTCTTTTCCAAAAATACTTAAAGAGTCAGAATAGTACGTGTGTTGAAATAGCGTCGTGACAGACGTGCATCTTGTGTCCACTGAGGAGGAGAGAGTGAGCGGGTGCAGAGGAGGAGGCAGTCAGTCTGTCTGTCAGAGTGTGTTAGGCTCAGGGTAATTACTGTGAAATGACACAGATCCAGGGTTTAGACCGAGCCGAGAGGAGGAGGAGGAGACAGAGGTGAGGAGCGGGGACTCGAGCCAGCGAGGCCACAACTGGAAATGTAAAAATAACATGTTTTTTTTTTTTTTTTTTACAGCGGAAGGAATGTATTTTAAGGGATAGCGCAGAATGTCAGGGTAGAATGAGGTACAAATCCAATTTATCATGCAAATTAAACAGTTGGACCTATTTGTGTACTTGCAAATAATAATTAAACATCAATTTTAACAAAAGAACACATGGTTTAGACTTAGATATTTTGCATTTTTAATTTGAACTACAACTAAAAATAACTGAAGGTTTTAAATTTGCACTGTGTAACTTTTCTCTTGGGAGGTCCATCACTTGGTTGTCTGCGTAGATACTGTATATTTTTGACTAGAATTTCCCACATTGGCAAATAAATGATCTACCTTCAAGCAGGTGTCAGCATCATGTCAAGTTACAAGTCAGATCTGTGGAGAGGCAACCCCGCTCACAGTAAGGAATGTATGTTTTAAATGGTATTTTTGAGCAATAAAACACCCGTAATGAAACATATGTTAAATACATTTAACGCCATACTAGTGTAGAGTTTTTGTGGCAAAGGTATAACCTCTCCATTGAGACGAGCAGGTGGCGGGCTCCCCACAAGAAATGTTAATGTATGATGTTTCCAGCTTCTTTAAACATTTGGACTAGAAGCAAATAAACAATATTTAAACATGATTTTGTACCTCATAAACCCTCACTCAGCTATTCCACAATATAAAGATGATTTAATGTTTTATTTCTACGGTAACAGTGCAGCGCCACGTTTTCAGAAGGCAAAAGGATCGGACAGCCCTTCAGGACTCACTATGACGAATGCTCGCAAAACGGCCATGTTTAAAGTCTGGGTTTGACAAACGAAAAAAAAAAAAAAAAATGCTTGTACAGCCCTCATGGTTATATGAGCACATTCAGTGATTACAGCGGGACATATTTACAAGCTTGACTTTTGTAACAGTGCCCTCTACTGTTCAGGATTTAACTGCACGGATTCAGAGGTCCTCAAGTCGTCCACGAGAGCCAGCGTCCACTAGAGAAATACAGTACAGGTTGGGTGAGTAGTACACACAAGATAGTAGCTAATGTCTTCACCTCATTTGAACTGCTTCATTCTTCAATAACAAAGAAGAACAGGAGTTAAAATAACACCCAATGGCACCTGTACCATACCACTCCAGTGAACAGGGCTCTACTCTTTCAGCTTCCAATTTACAGGCACCATTTTGAGGACTTTTGAAAAGATATCATATTTTGTTGAGTTTTTAATTGCTACGGCAACAGTGGTTTTATCTGGATAGCATGATAGCAACATTTGGGTTCTTTAATCAGACATAGGCACAAGACCCATAAATGTACATTGTGAACCCTTTACACAACGAGAAAGGCACAGACACTAGTGTGACCAATACTCACTCTTAAACACACAGCAGACAGAAAACATTAGTGATTAGCAACAAAATACAACAGTTTAAGTCACAATGTTAACAGAAAAAACAATAAAGATGTTATCAAAATTGGTGCCAAAAACAGACTAAATATTGTGATAAACTTTTTATCATATTTTACAAAAACAAAAATCACACAGGTTCTGGTTCGTTTGTGCACTGGTGATGGGGGCGCCGTACAGTGCAATAATGGAACATCAACATGAGTTCAAATGACAAGGATTCAGAATGGTTCACTTGTTTTGAGAAGTTTGGACTAGTTTAGGTTCAGGCCTTGATTTATTAAAGTGGGTCAAGATGTTCATACCTGTTTCATACCTGCATTTAAAGGTCCACTAAGTAACTTTTCTGCCACCCGATTGTCTTTAAGGAGATGTTAGTGCTTTGTCTAAAATGTTTCTCAGTATATTATTAAACAATTCTTATCTCCATGGTGATAAACTGATGCCCAAAAAGTCAAGTTACAAGTCATATCTGTGGACAGTGAAAAGAAAACATGTTTTTACAATACTGTATATGATTTTTCAGTAAAACCACAAAGATAAAGAGGTTTAATGCCATACTGTGAGACATTCCAGACAAAGCAATGACTCTCCATGGAGACAAGAAGATGGAACTGCCAAATTTAAGACAAGTTTTCTTATTATCTGTTTGTGGGGTATTTTTGTTGAGCTATTAAATAAAATTGTATTACTCCATGACATCTTATTTATTTAACTGGAAGACCAAGTCCTTTATTTCAAATTAAACTAGAGTCAAAACTAAACAAAACAAAATGAACATTGTGATTTCAGGTCATTTGAACTCATGCTGATGTCCCTTTTGCAGTGTAGTGGTTGGCTGTCACTATTTTTTTGCATGACTCAAAGAGACCTGGTGTAGCTCGGGTGGGGTTAGAAATGCGACTCCTTCTCTGAGATGGTGGAGATTTTGCAGTCGCCTTTGGCCTTGGCGTCGTTGGAGGCGTATGGACTCAGAGCGGCCAGTTTCCCCCTCATCTTCAGGTCTGGGCTCGGGGTGGTCAGCTTCTTCATCCTCTGCACGAGGTACATACAAGATCCACAGGTGAGGACATAGGTAAAAAGCGGTACAGTGAGGTGAGGAGAGATCATTCATGTAATTTGTAAATGTAGTTGTAAAAAATCTGTGTTTCAGTTATTGTTAGATTAGTATACTCTTTCTTCTCCTCTGCATTTGACCCATCCTTCAGTGCCCAAGAACCCATCTCCAGACCTTGAGCTAGGCCTGGACAGGACTATTTTAGCTGGAAGATTTTACCTGGTGCTATTTTTTTTGGGAAACCAGTGCCCGAATAAAACCCACTCAGACACATTTTGAAACGTGCAAACTTGGTACAGAAAGGCCCGGATATGAAAACAGAACCTTCTTACTGTGAGCCACTCTATGTTTATACTATTATTTTTTTATTGAAATAAAAACAAGAATACAGTTTAAGGTTGACAAAACTCACTCACCTGCTTATGACCGGTTTGTACAGGTTTATGTGTATAATGCATCACTATAGTTGATGAAAGCAAGAGGATGAACTGCTAATTTTAAATATCTTTTCTATGTTATTATGTCTGTTTCTACCTTGCTTTGAACTTTGAATTTTCTTCGGGATCAATAAAGGATCTATCAATCAATCTATTTACTACTTAACTTATTAAATGCTGTAAACATTTGTCAGACTTTGTTAACAATTTAATCTATTTATTTTTTGCTAGTTTGACAATTTTACTGCAGTTTTTAATTTTATTTCCTGATTGGACATGGACAGCAGATTAGGCAGTAAAATAACATCCTGCTTAATCTGGACAGTTAGTTTGTATTAAAGTTATATTATTTGTTTCATCACATGACAGATATAACTATATAACAGTGTCCCATTTGGACTTTTACCTCAGAGAAGGTCCCGGGGGTCTTCCAGATCTTCCAGATGAGTCCGAGGGGGATGCAGACCATGGAGGACATCGCCATGAACCAGCCGATGCCATAGCCCCAGTCGGGATAGGTGTACACGTTATTGTACTTGAGAGGCTTGTACTTAATCAGGAAGAACAGGAAAATCCCCTGCAGCGGACACAGTGACATTTGGGTGGAAAATGTTACCCCCATCATGAAGGGAGGGCTAAAGGTCAGATTTTACAATTCAGCGTGAAGAAAATGACAAAACTGTGATGGACTGAACGGTTCTTACATGTTAAGACATACAGTACATATACAATTTAATATAATAGTTTATAGAAGCAACTGGATAGACCAAGCCATGACAAAAGCATTTGTTCTGTCTTGCAATAGTAAATATATATAATATATATATAATATATAAGTAACCATAACCGAACTGGTTGTTGAAAGTTCTGTAATCTGATTTTTAGTGAGTTATCTTGCCATGGTAAAATCCCAAATTCCTCGTTCTCTTAATGTCTTAATATTTCTATTAATTAAAATTACACTACTTTTTTAAAAACTACAACTGCTCATTTACTGTCTTTCTAAATGTACAACAAATTACAAGTAAAAGTAAAAAAAAATTGCAGTTTTTGTAAAGCACAGATAAAACAAAACAAATATTCGGCACCATTTTTTATGTGGTTAAATGTGTTTATTATTTTTTACGTTTTTTTTTTTTTTTTTTTTTTTTACTATTAATGGCCTAAATCATTATTTACAGAAAATGAGCAATTATTTGATCAAGAAAAAATATTTGATCAAGAAAAAATACTTGATCAAGAAAAATTCAGGCTGAGTAACTACTTAATTAAGGGGTTAGGGTATTCATTAAATAATACTAAATTACTAAGTATTTGTCCATTATGAATTAAGTCTTCATTCATGCTTTATTAACTTCACAAGCTGATTTGGACACAATTCACACTCTGTTAGCAGCTTCAGTCTGAATGCTTGAAAAAGGATACAGCAACAAGCAACACATGTCAGTTATACTATCAAAAAATGAGTAGGATAGAAGAGAAAAATACAGATTATTTGAGGTTACTTGCTCTTCAGTGACAATTTTGGGTCATCACCCTAATTTCACCTGACACAAACCTGTCAAAATCATCTCAATTTGAGTAGTTAATTTGAATGATTCTAATCTGCCTGTTGTTTAGTGAAAAGCACATAGTCTATTATTGGAATTGAAGGTTTGCACTCACAGCACAGATGCCTGGGGTGAGGAACATCCAGCACCACTTAATGAAGAAGATGGGCTTGTATCCGATCATATCCTCAATGTTCAGGTAGAATCTGTCACTTCCTAAAATCATGAAAAAAATAGAAGAAAAAAAACAAAAAAAACATGTCATTTTGAGTTACAAGAGGAGAGCCCAAATAATGAGGAGGCAGATGTTTCTTGACAGTTTGAGCAGATAATCAGGGCTGGAGACAGGACTGGAACAACTCAATTATAACAGCTAAAAACAGTTCAGTATCTTTACATAATAATTGGAGGTTGTCAGATTCTAGACTCAAGTGTTATGTTGCTAGATAGGGGCAAGTTAAAGGTGTACTTTGTAACTTTTCTGCTCTTTGGCTTTGTCCCCATTTAGATGTTATTGTTTTGCCTGATAAGTAAGGCATTAAACACAAGTCTCTCCATGGAAACAATCAAGTCATAAAACTAAACCAAGTATCCATTCAGCAATAAAAACATACTGCAACTGAATAAATGCAAGATAAATACGTTTACTTCCACACTATAAAACATTCTGAGCAAAGCAGGTTCATCTCCACGGAGACAAACACCAACAGAAAAGTTCCATAGCACACTTTTCAGAACCTGATATCCCAATGAATTTCATCGGAAAAGAGGCAAATGTTTTCTTTAGTGACTAGACCATTGATCCCACTATATCAAAACTTCAATCTGAATTTTGTGTATTCCTTAAAAATACAGGTCTAGTAAATGGTCTTTAAAGCACTGTAAAGTACTATTAGATTGTGTGTATTCTATGCCTGAATGAATACTTGCCTATGGACTGAAAAAAAATTATAGCTAAATAAATAAATAAGATAAAGTAAGTAATTTTCTTGTTTTAGGCATAATCGATATGTTATGTTACTATTATTATGTTAATTGAATGTTGTGTTTGACTGGATCAGATGTAAATTTTAACATTAACATTTCTCCTGTGCATCATACAAAATTACCTGTAAATGAACAGGTTTAATGGCAACACTGTAAATTAAAGCCGTGCGCGGCGATGATGGCCCTCGCCCCGGGCGCGCACCGCCCCCCCACGCGACCTCCGGGGACTCGCGACCGCCCCGGCACGTCACCCTTTCTCCCCGACATCCGCCCAGGCCGACAGCTAGTCCATTAGACACATTACATAATGCACCTTTAAATATTTATAGGAGTCATTGCGCCCCTGCTGGGCAACAGTGGAAAATGCACCATGTCCGCTATTTATTTTTTTGCTCATAGTCATGCATAGAACTTATTCCCTGAATTTGGTACAAATGCAATAATGTGTACATGTCATGTATATGCTAGGGGGCGCTATAGTGTTAAATTTTCATATGTTTTATAGTGTATTATATTCAGGTCGTGATCAGGCATTAGTGATTCAAATTTCAGCACGATCGGACTAAGCCTGTGGGTGTAATAATTTTTTTACTATTTTTTCAGGGAGTCTTTGCGCCCCTGCTGGCCAAACGTGGAAAATGCATCATGTCCATAATGGACTTTCTTGCTTGTAATCATGCATAGAATTTAATCCCCGAATTTGGTCCAACGCACCGCCCCCCCTGGCGAACGCTGGGGACTCGCGACCGCCCCGACACACCGCTCTCTCTTCCCGACAGCTCCCGAGGCCAACAGCTCGTCCACCAGAAAAATGACATAGTGTACCTTTAAAATTGGATAAAGTGAATGATTCTAGAGACAAACTGTAGACACTAAGCCACAGGTCACGTGACTTTAATGGTCAAGAGCACTGTCACACTAAGACTAAGTGCATGAAAACACATCCTCCACCAGAAAAGTTACATAGTGTGCCTTTAAATTTCTCAGAAGTGAAATTATTCTAGAGGCCAAAGTGTAAAACTAGGGCATAGGTCTTACTGACGTTTATGATGAGGAGTACGTCAGTGAATGTTTTGGCAAAGTTTTACAAATGAATGTAAAACTAATTTTATGTCACACAATAATAAATTGTGTGCATTCATATAGGTGGCGCTGTATCCCTGATAACTGTATTTGACATATCAATGGAATAAGGGTCATGCAGTGTATAACTGATAGAAATGTCATCACAATCGGACAAAACATGTGCATATAATAATTTTTACAATATTTTTTGGGGGATTCTCTGTGCCCCTGCTGGCCAACCGTGAAAAATACACCATGACTGTAATAGACATTTTTGCTTATAATCATGCAAAGAATTTATTCCCCTAAATAAATAAATATGTTTTATAGTGTATTATATTTAGGCCGTGATCAGGCATTAGTGATTCAAATTTCAGCACAATCGGACTAACCCTGTGGGTGTAATAATTATTTAACTATTTGTTGGGGGAGTCTTTGCGCCCCTGGTGGCCAGTGGTGGAAAATGCATCATGTCCGTAATAGACTTTTTTGCTTGTAATCATGTCTAGAATTTAATCCTCGAATTTGGTACTAATCCGATAATGTTGATGTTTGATTCTCTGTGCCCCTGCTGGCCAACCGTGAAAAATACACCATGACTGTAATAGACATTTTTGCTTATAATCATGCAAAGAATTTATTCCCCGACTTTGGTCCAAGTCCGATAATGTTGACATTTCATGTCTAAAGGGGCGTTCACACCAAAGCGTCAAAAAACGCCTTGACGCCTCTATTTGGACGCGTTTGCATTTGAGTTTAGACGCCCCCGACGCGCGTCTTTGACTCGTGAACAAACGGGAGAAAAATACTTGACGCGCGTCCGTTGCCGTGGAAACAAAAGCCCGGTCCCGGTCTTTTCCCGAAACAATATCAGACCAGACTGAGAGAGTGTTTTTATGACATAAAACATCAGCGGAGGAAATCGGGTCGACGACTGGGGCGTATATATATTTATACTCCGCTAATGACACTGAATCAGTCCCGGTCTAGTCCTGGTTTGGTCCCGGTCTAGTCCTTGTTTAGTCCCGGTCGAGTCCTGGTTTAGTCCTGGTCCGGTCCTGGTGTAGTCCTTGCGATCGGCTCGGTGATTGTGGCGTATATATTTATGCTCCGCTCATGTTGGTGGTTCTGGTTCTGGTTCTCGGGTCTTGCTTCCTGATAATAACGTCGCTGCGTCTCTGGATACTCGTCCCTGATTGGTTGACGCGGCGCGTCTGACGTGAAAAGTTCAGCATTTTCAACTTCTTGATGCTGACGCTTTGGATGCGCGTCTTGGCCGCTGACGCCAAAACGCTCAAGACGCGCTGCGTCGACGCCAGATTCGCGCCGCGCTGACGCCGAAAACGCGCCGCAAAAACGCAGGACGCTCTAGTCGCGCGTCCACATAGACTTTACATAGAAAGTGGACGCTTTGGTCTGAACGGGCCTTAAGGTAGGGGGCGCTATACTGTTCACTTTTCATATGTTTTATAGTTTATTATATTCAGACCAATATCCCGCATTAGTGATTCAAATTTCAGCACAATCGAACTAAGCATGTCCCTGTAATCATTTTATAAATATTTTTTGGGGGATTCTCTGTGCCCCTGCTGGCCAACCGTGAAAAATACACCATGACTGTAATAGACATTTTTGCTTATAATCATGCATAGAATTTAAAGGTTGTATGGAGGATTTTTTTTTTGTTTCAAGTTGTCAATGATAGCATTATAGAGATGCAGTAGCCTTGTAATTATGATGACCAAAAAAAAGAGAATAAAAATTCATCAACTCTGGACGTGGTGGGGCTAAACATTTGCCAATAGATAACGACACTGCCTCGTTATCTGTTAGCTGACAGGCTGTCAATCAATCTCCCTACGTTTCTAGCGTAACTGACTTGCCTGCGCGCTGCCGGTACATGGTTTACGTACGACTGTCACGCAGTCCACAGATGCAAGCCGCACAGACGCTGTTTACTCCACCAACGCAACAGTTCTTAGCGGCTTTTTTTTACCTATATCTTCCTCGCAGTTCGCACAAAGTTTGTTGCAATGGCAGACAAGAATCCAGGAGCAGTTAGCCGCAAAAGAAAGTCTGTTTTTGAGGTCGCTGAAAGAAGAAGACAAGGGGAAAAGCAGCGAAGCCAAATTAAGGTGATTCTTGAAGATTCATTCCAGCGATGGCGCAACTGAAGCAGACGCAGGGTCTAAAGACTGACGCACTGGTCGCCAAATTACTCCTGGACAGGTCACTTCTGCTTATTATGAAAACGTACTTTATTTCCAAGAGCTAGTCAAACGTTTTTCAGGACACGAAGGCGATATCCTATGTCTGAAAACATATTTTTAATTTTCAAGGCAAAGAAAGAGTCCGCTTGCTGCTGCGTGTTGGAGCTAGTTCATTCGCATGGAATCTCCGCGCAACCTTCTCTGCACCCCTTTCCTGCTCCTGTCCCCGCTGCCCGTTCCGCTCTTCCCCCTGCTCCTCACTTCTCCGGGCACCGCTCCCCTCTCCTCTCTCCTCTCCTCTCTCCCTGCTCCGCGCTTCTCCCTGCTCCTCACTTCTCGTCCGCGAACGAAATGTCCGCACACCCGCTCCCCCCGCTCCTCACTTCTCCGCCTTGCCTAACCAACACTGTAGTTAGTTGTTTACAAGTCATGTGCAGCGCACCGGCTGTAAACAAACCTGTTTCTGGCGTAAAGAGGAGGTGGGAGGAGGCGTTTCTACGTAGGAGCTGTAGGGGAGGGGGGGTGGTTTCACGCATGCGCAACATTTGAAAAAGGACAAACAGTCGCTGGATTTCTCGTTCCTTGGAAAATCCTCTATACAACCTTTAACCCCCGACTTTGGTCCAAGTTTGATAATGTTGACATTTCATGTCTAAGGTAGGGGCGCTATACTGTTCACTTTTCATATGTTTTATAGTTTATTATATTCAGACCAATATCCCGCATTAGTGATTCAAATTTCAGCACAATCGAACTAAGCATGTCCCTGTAATAATTTTAAAAATATTTTTGGGGGGATTCTTTGCGCCCCTACTGGCAAACCGTGAAAAATGCATCATGTCCGTAATAGACTTTTTTGCTTGTCATCATGCATAGAATTTAATTTCCGAATTTGGTCCAAATCCGATAATGTTGACGTTTCATGTCTATGCTAGGGGGCGCTATAGAGTTCAC